GAGAGAGAGAGAGAGAGAGAGAGAGAGAGGGAGAGATGTATTTAGAACTTTCGTTAATAATTGTTGATTTTAATTTTTTTAATTATATTTTCTTCCTTTCTTTTACTTTTTATTTTGTTCAATCAGCGATATGTAATTCTAAATTTTAACTTCTTATTTTAGTTTGTATTATTTTGTAGACGATAGTTTAACTTTTTCTGTTAATTTCTCTATCGGTAACAGTTTACATTATTATCGATTGTTTGTAAAGAGTAATCATTCCGATTATTATGTGATATCAGAGTAATCTTTTGCAGAAAAAACTTTTGAGATTTGTCGTAGCTCATCCGTTTTTTTATGTACACTTAATTAATTCTTTAATCTATTTTAAATATGATAATGGCAAAAACAATTTACAATTATGTATGCTAAATCGACAATGAAAAATTATTAAAAAGTTGCCGAAAAAAATTAATCAAAAAATGAACGAAATTCTAAATGAGAATCAAAATTTATCAAAAAATTATTTGCTTATTTTTATTTAATAGAAAATGAATTATTAAATAGAAAATGAAAATTATTCAGACAATAAATGCATAGAATGTAATGAAATAATAAGAATGTAGCAAATGTCTTCTTTAACTTCCCTTAAGTATACGTTTTGCAATAAACATAGTATAAGTTACTGTATTACTGTATTCTACAATATCTGTTATTATTATTCTTCTCTTAACTTCTCTTAATTTCTATTACATCACTACACATATTTTTTTATTATATTTAAAAAAATATCCTTCTCTTAATTTTTATTTTTATATTAATATCACTATGCATATTTTTATTAAATTTTAAATTTCAGCTCGGCTTAAAAAAATTGACAAGGAAAGGGAAGATAAGATGATAAAAGAGGAGTTAAAAGGGTTTGTAAAAAGGAGAAAATCAACAGATAAATGTGATAGCACAGCAAATTATATCAATCATAAAAAAGAAACGATGAATGCAATTGTTGAAAAAAAGAAAGGTACTTTGTGAATACGTTCATTTCTATGCAAATATTGCTACCTTATCTATCACATATTATCTTATCATTTCCATTTTGTTCTTAACACTTTTACTTGCTTTCAATAACGATTAAATTTTGTTGCAATCTCTGATTATATATTTATGTTCACAATTTTAAAATTGAATGATACAATTTGATATGATCACTTATCAGTTTAGGGAATTAAACGACTAATAACATTTCATAAGTAATTTAGACTGCAAGTAATCTAATGCTTCTTTTTAAATAGAAAATGAAAATCATCGCGACAATAAATGTATAGAATGTAATGAAATACCGATGGGAATGCTGAAAATGCTAAATATCGATGTGAAATTGACAGATGGAAGGGAAAAATCACGTTTGGATCAACTTTCGCCATCATTTCGGCTCTTATCACCGAAAACACCTTCGTCATCAAATAGCTCACCGAGAAATGCAGTTAGTTATGATCATTTCTTATTTCATTTTATTGTAAAACAGTAAGAAGAAAAGAGTATTATCATTTCTGACAGATTTATGGATCAATTAGTATGCTATTTTGTAGAATATTTAATTTTTTTACATTCTTTTTCAAATGAATGAGCAAAATTCAGTTATGAAAAACTAATTCCGTTCATTCAACAATCAACAATTAAAATGCGAGAAAAAAATATTATCTCTATCAATTTTAAATATTTTTGTATGAATCATCTCTTGCAAAAAAGAGCTATATTTTATAATATCGATTTCATTTTTATCTCATTTTGTTTTTAATTTTAATTTAGATTTCATATATCTTTCAAAATTTCAATTGTTGCTATATTTGCTAAGGTTTGATTAAGCTATTGATTATTTAGTACAGAGTGCTGGCTTTTATGCTTGCGCTATACATTTAGCTTCTTCCGTAAAAGTCATTAAAAATGTTATTTAATTGATATTTAATTCAAACATCTTTCACTTTAGGCATATTTTTATGACGCATTCAAAACTTCTTAAATTTTCATTATTAAAACGATTTGTGGGCTAAATTATTTATAAAAATTAAATTATTACAAAATGTTAAATTACTCTGCACTTCACTATAAATAGCATAAGATTATATTTAATATCGCTTCGAATCAGTCATTTTTTCTTTTTTCCTTATCATCACTATCTCACTCTCATCTATTTAAAAATTAAAAAAATTTATTCACATCATAATTTTGCACAACGAACATATCGATCTTTTCATTGATTTCATTTGCATTTTTAAAAGCCGATTAATTTTTATCCTCAAATTCAATAAAAATTCGAAAGTTTGATCTTTTTCCTAAAGTTCCTTTTTTTCTTACATATACTAATTGATTGGATAGATATTATGATTGGATGCTTTGAGGAATGAATTGATTGCTTTGATTTTTATTACAGACTATGGACATATCAATTAATAATCACCTTGAAGCTAACGAAAAGTGTCACGATGATTTAGCTCATCAATTCGATTCTCCAGGTTTATCATTTTTTTGAAATGATTTCATTCACTAATAAAATGATACATTTTATTCCTATCCTATAAATTTTATGATTGCTAAATTCTTTGCTGTTTCCACTTCCATATGTTTTTTTTTTCTTTGTACTTTTCTGCAAAATTTAAACTAAAATATTGACAGAAGCCTAGGTTTTAGTAATTTCTGCATATTATGCTAGTAACAATTATCGTGCATGATTGATCACTTTTTTTTTATTTCTCCGCAAATTCTGAACCGGATTATTGATAGAAACCTAGGTTTTAATAATAAAAATATATCTTTGCAAATTTAAAAATATTTACTCAGTGAACTATTATTATTCAAGTTTAACTTCCAAGAATTCATCTTACAACTTGCCTCTTCTTCTCTCATCCCTACTATGCTTGCTGTTTTAATTTCGGGATTGTCATATCACAATAAAGAATGATTTTGTAAAGTTTGATTTAGTTTAGGTAATCAGACTGATATCTCCATGCTATCGGATGCAATTGTCTCCCTGTTAATTTTTAAACATATCAGATATGCCGGTTTATTTTTACAGTCAAATTAAAATGAAACTAAACGAAGAATGATAGTTAAAAAAATTTCTTTTACATATTTAAAAAATAAAATTTCTTTTAAGCGTATAAAAGAAATTTTTATTTTCCGGATTAAAATTTGAATGCAAATGCGTCCAAAGTATATATATATATATATACGGGCTAATATGTATATATAAAGCTCTCTGTAGACAATTAGCATTTAAAAAAAAACCATTGAAAAAATTTTCCGTGCATATTTACAAAGACGTAAAAAGTGAGAAACTTCTTTAGCGAACAATTTTGATCTTGTAATCATTTAAAATTTTTCACTTAACAGTTGCTTATTGACTTCTCTGAATTTTCCACTTTAAAAATGTTTTGCAACTTTGTTTTGGCTTGTTACTTTTTCTTGGGCGAAGTGATAATTTTAGCTTTTAAGTATACACACCGCAGAGTAATATATTTACCGATTATTTTCACTATTACCTAGCATTTTGGTCACTTAATGGTCATCTAATCATATGATATGTCATAGTGACCTCATTAATGGTATTAAAGCTTTATAAAGAATTGAAATGATATTTAAAAAAATTGCTTTCTTTTTCTACCTTACCTCTTAGCTACTATATTTTTCCTCGGCTTTTTATCCAAATAATATTTTGTAACCTTTTATTAATTCTTCATTTCAAAATTATTTGCAATTGGTAAATTTCCTGGAAGCTCTCTCAAGTTTCTCCTTCCATGAGTACATTATTCGAAATCTTATAATTACATTGTTAAAAAAGTATCTTTAAATTGTCTAACTATACAATTCTGTGAAAGAGTGTCTATAAAAAATACATTCATATTTATAATGAATATATTGGTAGATTTTTTTCTATTTTCCCACTTTTATATCCTTGTATTGAAAAGTTTGAATAGCATTTTCAGGTAAGAATTAAGAAAGAAGATATGAAACTTTCTACTCTTAAAATAGTTTGTAAAATATTCATAAGTGAAATATCAATATTAAAGGAAACAGAATTATACGTTTAGGTTTTGATGGTTGATCGAGGCGGAAGATATCAAAAAAAAAAAAACCAGAATTTTGTTAGTCCGTGTTAACGAAACCATTTTGCTTTTTAACAAATGCGGAGAGAATGCGTGTGTGTATGTGTATGTCATTTTATAGGAGAAATTTTAGATGATTAATGTATAGAAATCTTTTTTTTTTTTAAATATATCTTGAAATTAATCAGCAATCGCCTTTCAATTCCATCTCTCTCTCTCTCTCTCTCTCTCTCTCTCTCTCTC